CAACTCTTGTAACGTTTTTATTTTTAAATATATATGAACATATAGTTCTTTGAGCAAATTTGTATCATTTTAAAAGATCATTTACGTAAATAAATAACATGAATGTCAACTTTTCAAGCTACTAGATTGTCATCAATGTTTTATTTAAAATTTTTCAAGTATTGATTTTAGAATAATTGGTTGCTTTTGATTTTTCTACGGGAAGTGATAATAAAAATGTGAGGTCGGCCTCACAAAGATCTTTTAAAATGATACAAATTTGCTCAAAGAAATACAGGTTTATCTTTAAGAATAAAGAAGTTACAGGGGTTGTATCAAATAAAAGCAACACCCAGTATATATTATAAACATTATGACTGAAAATTAAAAATGATAAACAGTAGCGTTTCTTTTATTGACAGTACTGACAGTTTCTTTTATAATAGACCAACAGTAACACATTTTTGTACCAAAATCCTTCATACCTTCTTTTTAAGCATATTTAAACAGGTCTTGCTTTAGGTACTATAATTTTACCATAAACGTAACAAAACTGATTTGCACTTACTTTGCACGATCTCGAAGACATTTTTTATGCGACAATGGTGCATTAACATGAATCAATTTGACACTAACGTGAAGGTAAGGGCAAAGTTCATTATTTTTGATTTATGAAAAAACCTGACGTGATAAGGATAATCCGTTTTTGGATTTGGTATCAGTAAGTAATTTAGAAGTAAAAATATTTTTTTTATTTTTGGATACGAAAAAAAGTTTAAATTTGTAAACTAGTGATTATTACTCAAGATTCTTTGAAATATTCAAATTAAATAAAATGACAGAATCCATCATTATTGCTAAACTGAAGACATTATTCAGTCGCTTTGGCATTCCTGAAATTGTAAGGTCAGATAATGGTCCACAATTCCAAAGTGAATTTAAAAAATTTGCTTATGATTATGATTTCCATCACATTACTAGTAGTCCTTACTTTCCTCAGTCTAATGGTTGCATTGAAGCGGCTGTAAAAATAGCCAAGAGTCTTATTAAAAAAAATCCTGGTGGTTTAGATTTAGCTTTATTGGCTTATCGTACTACACCATTAGAGTGTGGATATAGTCCTTCCGAACTTCTCATGAATAGGAAACTACGGTCACTTGTTTTTAAAAGGGAGGATAAGGCTAAAGATAAAAGTATTGACCAGTTTAATAAAAGACATAGGGCCCGAAATTTATCAGAACTGAAACAAGGGGACAGTGTTTGGGTAATTGACTTACGAATATATCGGAAAATAATAGAGGTCTTAAGAGAACCACGGTCATACATGGTGGAAACTAATTTTGGAATCTATCGGCGTAACCGATATCATTTAGTTTCCGCTCCTTATTATATTTTACCACCTCCGCTCATTTCAACATTGCCTCAGCCTCAGCCTTCTGAAAATAGTGTCAATATTGATTCAAAATTAATGAATAAAAGTTCCAGAGAAGTCAGCACCAATATCACTACAGGAATTCATAATTCATCTGATAATGTTGTGTCGTCACCTACATGGTCTGTTCCTCCTCTGCGGCGGTCAACTAGGAATTCAAAGAGGCCTGCTTATTTGAAAGACTACGTAACCTAGCTTAAAAGGGGGGGATGTTGTGTTAGCAGGCTGGGGGGAAAAACAACAAGTGAATAGAATAACAAGACGAATTGTGAGAGTTGTCAATGAATACACTTTTTCTCTTAACAAGATCTTTTACTGATAAAACACATTTAGCCAACATGTGACCAAAATAGCAAAAATTGAAAGGTGGAAATTAATTTATAATCATGCCCAGAGTCTAGGATTAGTGCCACCAACAAAAGACTGGACATATGTCCGCGATGTTTGGTGGCCTAATGTGAAAAAAGCCACAATGGTAAGCATTTAAGACTTTGACAAGTGTATTGATTACTATTATTATTTACAAAAACTATACACACACTTTAATGTGATAATAATAGGAGAAAGTCGATAATTATAAAAAAACGGGAACTGGAGGCGGCCCGGAGAAAAAATTGACCGATGTCGATGAGGAGGTGCTCGATATCCTCGATAAAGACTCACCTGCCATTCACGGGCTCGGGTTAGAACCCGAGCCAATGAGTGAAGATATAATTGAAATTCAAGGTAAGCAAATTTAGCTAAAAAGTGTAATAAAAAAATAGAAAATATGAATTCTGAACGATTTGTTATTGTAGTGTAATACTATTATAGTTAATTTCACATATTTTCCAGCTGAACGGGCACACGAAGTAGCAAATGAATTACATCCAGAAAGAGAATCAACAAGTGATTTATTTAGTTTGTGAGTTAATTGATTATGTTCCATTCGTTTAATTAGTGCAAATAATAATAATTTATAGTGCCCGAAAAAAAGAAAAAGGAACAAAGAAAAGAAGAACAGAAACACATGTCCCCTAGAAGAACCATATTTAAACAAAGTAAATAGTACACAGCACGGTCATTAATAAACTATTTTATTTTTTAAATTGGTTTCAGAAACTGCGACAGCCGGACATGAAACTAATAAAGAAAAAAAGGAAAAGCTGCAAATGGAACTATTAAAAGTTGTAATTTATAAAACCAGACTTGAAGCTCGGCAACTAGAAATTTGTTTGGGATTGCCAGAAAGTGAATTTATCAAGGACTTGCAAGCAAATGACACAGATTAATTTTAGTTTTCTATTTTTCACGTATTAATAATTAGTTTTTGTTTTTTTTTTCTTATTTCTTGTTACCATTCATTATAATCTTGTTTATTAAAAAGTTAATAAGTTCGTAAATTAATTGTTCATTAAGTTTAAAATTTGTTCTTGACGAAGAATGGCGGCTCTAATCGGTACTTCCCGCTCAGGATGATCTAGAACAATGTTCTCATCTTCTTGAAGAATTAGATTATTTTCGTTTAGAACTTCAACTTCATCATCATTTACACCAATACGTGCAAAATTGCAAAGCGTAGTGCAGCATTTTACAACATTTGCTGCATATCTAGGTTCTACACGAAGATGGTGTAAGCATGGAAATTTTTCTTTCAAGATGCCCAGAGCTCCTTCGATGCCCTGCCTAGTACCCTTGTGCCGTCTGTTGTACCTTTCTTCCAAAGGATTGTTCGGGTTGTTGTGTCTTGGCGGCATCAACCATTGTTTCAACGGATAGGCTGAGTCACCCAAAATTACAGCATTGGGAAATATATTTTGCCGTTCAAACCGTCTATACAAATTGCTGTTCCGCATAACTCTAGCATCATGAACACTTCCTGGCCAGTTTGCACTCACGTAGTAAAAAAATTTTGTTGCTCCACACACAAACATACAATTAATCGAATGGTCTCCCCATCGATCAACAAAAGCAGGTTCATTGTTTGTAGGTGCGTCAATAGGTATAAGCGAACCAACTACAACACCACAAACGTGGGAAAAGTGGACGATTCTATAAAACTTTTCTATTTCGTTAGGAATATTTTCTGGCCATCTAACAATTCGATTTAAAAGAACATTATTCACTACATTCACTACTCTTTGAACAGTACGGCAAACAGTGCTCTTGTCAACTCCATGTGTATCACCGACTATGTGATATTGGGCGCCACATCCAAGCCAGTGTAAAGCTACAGATAACTGTTGCTTTGGGGTTAAAGCACCACTTTTACTAGTATTATGCAGGAGTAGAGGCCCTATTTCATTTAGAAGCAAATCCAATTTTTCTGCGGAAATTCTAAATCTTTCCGTATGTTCTACACTTGTTTGAAAATTGAAATTGATCCTCGGACGAAATATTTTTCTCCTCCGGTTTACCTGCCACCTATTTGGTTCTTCATCTTCGACGAGTCAAATAACAAGTGTCGCAACATATATTTATACTTGTATAGTCGTCGGCAAATGGATAAAACCACTTGTTAAAACGTCAGGTTGGTATTATTGCCATGGTAATTTTAAGCCCCTCGGATTGGCAGCGCTTTGACGTTTGTAACCGACAATAACGTCAAACGACTCGTAAACGACTCAAACAACTTCGAACTAGCGCAGCGTGCTTCAAATTCAAAAAGAGAGCGTTTCAATTTGAAAATAATTATTATGAAGCCAAGAACGCGGACTTTGTTCAAAAAACAAATAAAAGCTACTATTGTAAAGTGTTACGAAGAGTTTCAACGGGCATATCCTTCGTCTTCCCAGCGTGAACACGAGTTACGACTAGCGAATATTTTTTCAGTACGAAATCTTGGTAGTAACTATAACATTTCCAACGTTACTTATCCACCACACAGTTCACGTTGTCCATTTTTCACACCAACCAGTGACTCAGTAACATCCTTTTATCCTATCATTAACCAGCTCATTTTCCTGCAGTGTTCAAGAAGTCAAATAAGAACGCTTTTACTCCAACACAAATCCGGACAACTTCCCGAAGATCCTAGACCTTCCCCACGAAAGAAGTCAAAATGGTTTACGGATTTTGAATTCAAAGAAGACGTAAACTTTCACATATTTGAAAAAAATCGTCAGAATGAGTTTTTTACAATTCAGGATTTATTTAATTTTGCCACAGAAAATCTTAATTACAACGCAAGTATCCGGACTCTACGAAGGGTTATTTAATCCATGGGTTACAATGTTAAAAAAGTTGAAAACAGGAAAATTATAATTGAGTCGCCCAGCTTACAGGGATTAAAAATTAAATTTTTAAGGCGTTACATACAGTTAATGGAAGATGTGACATTTGTTTATTTAGACGAGACGTGGGTGTATCAGCATGGTGTACCAGTAAGAAGTTGGGTGCATGAGAGTAATCGGAGAGGCATGCCTGCGAAAATAGTAATGAATGAGGGTAGAAGGTTTACTATACTTCATGCAGGGGGTAAATTTGGTTTTTTGGAAAACTGCTTGCTATTTTTAGATAGCAATAATGATAGCAGGGACTATCATAAGACTATGAACGTGCAATTGTTCAGTCAATGGGTGGAAACACAGTTAATTCCATTATTATTGTATTAATGGGTTAGTTAGTTGTTCCTGTTTTATTGCATTGTTAAAGTTTTTGACAATACACTTATTTGTAACAGTTGAGACTACTGTTTACGTTCCTATAAATTATGTTCATTGAGAATTGTCTTTCTATCACATTTAGAACATTTCATTTTATTTAATTCCCTCCTGTGATTCAACCTTAGTGAATTGATCTGCTTCTTTACATCACTTCCTTTTGCTTCACGCTTTATCTCTTTAAATATTTCATGTAGTTTCTTATAAATTATAACCTACAATTTTCTCATATTTATTTGTATACAGTGGGCTCAAAATACTCAACAGTTCTGGTAACATTTCATTAAAATGTGTAAATCTTCTAATGACGCATTATTAGTACAAGCACCAGAGTTCTGTGATTCAGAAGAACCAAGCCATAAATCAGTATCGTCCATGGCAGCACAAATAAGACTGATGGAAATATTAATATGAACTGCCAGTCATGTGGTCATTCTTCGTACACCATCCTTGTACATTGATAGGTAAAAATACAAATAAAAGTTCCAATTTTCACTATACCTTTGAGTCGTACTTGCCCATTTTATTGATGTCCACCTTTTGTTAACGAGATGGTAAACTGTTAACTGCTTATAGCATCAATTGTGGCAGTGCAGATTTATACTGCACGTTCGATTCCACAGTTTGATAATGTCGGTGTATGTGCACTGAAAATGCGTATCCTAAGCTCTAACCTACATAAAAGAGCCCCTTAATTAATTAATAAGCCGTCGCCTTGTAAGCACAGAACCTTGTAACACGGCGATCAAACAAATGTCAAAAAAAAGTAACTAATGTCATTAATCGTCAGCCATTTTCTCTCTAAAAAGGTAGGGAAAGCCGTTTACACCAGCGAAATTTTGAAAACTTACACTAGGGAGTGGTTAAATCGAAATGCCGACGACTGTAAACAAAATTATTGGAGACTACCGACTTGTAGAAATTTCATTACTGAAACGTCAAAATTTCTACAAAGTAATGAAAATTATTTTTTTTCACTAGCAGCCATGACGAATGCAAATGTCGACTCATTTAGAGGTAGCAAATTCAACTTTTGCGACCATCGGTTCAAAAAGAAAAATTGAGGTTATGTACGCAATGTTTGATGTGATTATTTCTTAAAAAATGAACAAATGTGTGCTACAAACATTACTTGAGTATACGCATGGTAGTTGGTAGACGGCAGAAGATAAAATAATTAACTCAGCGACAAGTATAAACGGTTTTCTTTGTGTTGAAGATTTCGATTAAGTTTGATTAGAAATCAAAACAAAATCATGTTGCGTCAAAAAATTGAACGTTTATTTTTTCAGTTTATTGTCTTATGGTTTCTACTAGTGAAAAAAATTGTATATTAACCATGGTTGCAAAGCCACTTCTAGACCTCGCGCTTCAGAGCCCTCGACGCTGTGCGTCTCGGGTTCTAATTTGCGCTCGGTCTAGAATGCTTGGCTCTGCAACCTTGGCTAATAATATACTATATTTGTGCAACAAACACTTGTAAATTCGTAGAAATTATACTAATGGGTTTGAAAACTATTAGTTGTAACTTGTAGAAATTTATTAAATGATTGTGCAACAAAATTCCACAAATTACAATTTACAAGACTAATATTATTAGACTTCTAAGTATTGTGCAACAGGCCACTGTAGAGAAAATAAAGTTTGCTATTTGCAAATTGTCAAAAAATATAACAGTATTAGATCCAAAATTGTAAATGTACGTTTTTTCATGCGTTATCGGGGAGGGAGATGTGTTAATCAACCCGTCGGCAAAAATAAAATCGCTGAAATCCCCTGTAAGATAGCAACATATTTGAATTTAGACAACCCTAAAACCTATACAGGCCATTCGTTCAGAAGAACCTCGACAACTTTGTTAGCAAATACGGGAGCAGAAGTTCTCACACTAAAGAGACATGGGGGTTGGAAGTCCGGTAGTATTGCGGAAACCTACGTTGCTGAGTCTATTGCTAATAAAAAAGCGATTGCCCATAAAGTTTTATATGATAATCAGGGTACAAATTCTACTGAAGCCTCCTCGGCGATGATAGTGTCAAATGAAACCACGGAACTACATTTTGCTGATAAAAATGGTGATAACAACATTGAAGTTTCTTCGGAGATGATAGTGTCAAATGAAACTACGGAACTAATTGTTGCGGATAAAGAAGGTGATAATAACATTGAATTATCAAAAAACGTACTAAATAAATATCCCAATTTTGTTAACAATGTTAGTAATTGTACAAACTGTAACATTACCATAAATATAAATTAACAGAGCACGTGTCCTGATGCACTTTTTTTCCTAAGGGACGTAAGTAAATAACTTACGTCCCGTCGTCATTAACAACCGTAATCATATCGTAAAACGAACTTACGTCCATGAAAACCATGTATTAATGGTATGATTACGATAAGGGGAGTAGGAAAAAGTAATTTGTTCCTTTTATAGTACATATATTGCACTTAACTATTTTAAAATTATTAATGTCTTCCGGTGGGATATACAGAAGCTCAAAATCAGCTCTACAACTAGTACACATGCTAAAAGTTTGTTGTAATCTACTGCATTGCCAACACATAAATGAAGAAAAAAATTAAATTTACGTCAAACGAAAATTCCGTTAACTGAAGACGCAACCCAATTTACAGAATATTTAATACAAAAGACTAATACAGAAGAAGAATTTTATAAATCACTACTTAATGCCTGGTGCATAAGTAAATGGACACTTGAAAAATTGATACAGTCACTTTGAAATTATTTTTCATAAATATCACAGGTCTCGTCAAATAACTTAAGCGTTGTATTTGTTATTTTTTAGGTTGTTTATATGATACCTAAAATGAAAATAGTTGCTATTGAGCATTTAACAGAATGAATATGTACCGCTATTCGACGAAGGCCAAAAATTGATATTGCAAAACATTTTATATTGGAAGGTTTTAATAGAAGCACCATTTAAAACATAATTAATTGTTGGCGAAATGGAAAGCTTGTTCAAAATTTACAGAAAAATGGCCGACCAACGAAACTAAGTAGAGCTGCTATTAAAAAATTGGCGGATATCGTAAATAACAAGAATGGGATTTCTCAGAGAAGATTGGCCTCACAATTTTCTCAATCTGCAGTATCCACAATTTCAAAGAAGCAATGTGTGAAATCCTATAAACGAAAATAAGCACCCAAATATAATGACAAACGATTAGAAATTATTCCAACAAGATGTAGAAAATTGCTAACAATTTTGAAAGTGTCGGAAAAAGTGTTAATTTTGGACGACGAAAAATATTTCATTTTTAGTAATATGTACTAACCTTGCGGCAAATTCCGAGTTTTACACAAGAGATAAAACCTCACACCTTGTTTGTACAAGTAAAATTTGCAAGTAAGACCAAATTCGAACCAAAAATTTTGCTTTGGCTAGCCATATCACAAAGTGGAGTTTCGAAACTCCTCATTCGAAAAATTCGTGATTCTACGGTAAGGTAAACGCTGATGTTTATGTGAAAAAATGTTTTCCCAAATTAAAAGATGTTAATAAATAAATTTCATAGAGAAGATGATATTCTACAACAAGATCAATAATGACTGAAATAAAATATGTAGCTGGCAAAACTGAATTAGAATAATTTTGGTTTTTCAGTTGGCGGGAAGAACTACTGTCCGCCAAATTTGATGTTTCAAATTTGACTTTGTCGCATAGGTGTTACTTTTGCCCCCATTGAACCGTTTGATCGGTATTTAAGAATTTGAATTTGCGACTAGTGTGTAGGTTTGTGTTTTTGGTTCAATTAATTTTTTTCAAAACATGCCTCTTTCTGTGGAGGAAAAACACCTTTATGGTAATGGAATATTTTCGCAGTAGATCCCACGATGAATAATTAGGGAATTGGAATTATTCCATAGAGTTTTGTAATGACCAGTTCATGGGCATGTGTCCTGATATACAAATTGCATTTCGTCTTTTCACACAGCATTGTACACGTAGTTACTGCCGTTGGTTCCTTGACAACATAAATGCAGATGAAATTTTGAATACGACATTTTTTACGGACAAAGGTTATTTCCACCTTTCGGGATACGTGAATTCCCAAAATCATCTAATTTGGTCGATTCAAAATCCTCATGTTTTCGTGAAGACACCCCATTAATGCCAAAACATGATTTAACTGACCTAATTATAATTGAAGCGCACATTAGACAATTGCACGCCGGTTTACATGGAACTATTTCCACAGTTAGAGAAAATTTTTGGATCACATCTTTAAGAAACACAATTCGTAGAGTGTTGCGAACTTGCTACATATGTAATCGCTTTGATCTGGTTTCCATAACGCCCCTCATAGGTAACTTGCCAGTGTCGTAGAGTTACGCCAACCAAACCGTTTTTGGTGAGGGGTTGATTATGCTGGACCGATTTTAATAAAGGAATCGCGAGGCCGTTCAAGGCATCTAATAAATTCATATATCGCGTTGTTCGTATGTTTTGCTACCAAACCCATACACTTAGAATTAGTGGGTGATTTAACAATCGAATCATTCATGAATTCACTACGCAGGTTGATGGCTAGACGGGGAAGCGTATCTGATATCTACTCAGATAACGCTACTAACTTTGTCGCAGCCAGTGCAGAGTTGGGCGCTTTTTTTTAAATCTAAGGCATTTACGGCTGTACAGAGAGAATTGACTGATAATAAAATAGAGTGGCACTTCATTCCGGCTCGGTCAACGCACATGGGCTGACTTTGTGAAATCAATGTCAAATCAGTAAAATACTACCTCAAAAGAACAGTCAGAGGTATTTAAATTTTGAGGAAATGTACACCTTATTAGCAAGGATAGAAGCAATCCTAAATTCCCGACCTATCATCCCCATAAGCACTGACCCTAATGATTTGCAAGCTCTAACACCTTCTCATTTTTCGATTTCCGAAAATCGGCTCAACCGTTGGAGGAGGGTCGAAAAACCACGACAGCACTTCTGGCAGTGTTGGTCCAAGGAGTACCTGACGCAACACTTCACGCAAGTCAATACAAGGAAGACCGCCACCTCACAGGTTCGCGTTGGCGGCTTAGTTGTCCTCGTTAAGGAAAACCCACCGCCTCAGCAGTGGAAGATGGGCCGCATCGTCGAGACGGTACCACAAAACGTACAGTACGGAGCATTAAGATGTTATCCTTATTGTAGCATATTATTCGATATTTTATACATATATTTATTTCATTGTAAGCCTTTTTTGAAGGCGGTGCCTTCAAGGAGGGCGGTATGTATATGTGTAATGTTCATTAATTTGTAAATACCACACCATTGGTCGTACCACCACTTCTCAATATTTAGTAAGGGTGTTTATGGTAGGGGTACCTCAATATAAGGGTACGACAAGTCGAGTGTTAAGCTCTCACAACTACACTTCGATCTCTACACCATCCATAAGCAACGATCAAGTCCTCAAGGACACCCTTTTTCGCTAAATAGAAAGTACGCGGCATTTACGTTGTAATAAACTGTTTAAGACCGGCAAAATTTTAACTTGTACTCTACGATTATCCTCGCCACCTATACACGGGAAGCACGGCGAATATTGCAAGTTTACATTACACCTGCAATCTCACTTCTATCAACAATAGTAATTTTGGATTCTTCAGGTATTTCAGACACATCACTTGAATCCATAATAAAAGAATTTGAAAATGTTTCCCTCCCATTACCAGCAGCAAACAACATTACCACAATACGTGCACCGGTGGCCAAGTCAGATGTTTTACAAAATAATCATCGTCACGGTTTTGAATATTTCTGGAAAAGTATAGATACAAATTAAAACCTTGGGTTGTTGCAAAGTT